TCCAGCTCCCCCCTCCCCCGTTTCTCACTCCCCTCTCCCCCCCTCTCTCTTCCCCTCTCCCACCTCCTTTTCCCAGTCTCCCCAGAGGCTCCTCCCACCCCCCATTTTGTTCAATAAACCCAGTTTCTATTTTTGAACATACGTCTTTTGTTTGACATCAGGAAGGGGGGCTAGGGAGGAGTAAGTGGAAGGACATGAGGGAGGAAGGGGGCACGAGCCTCCGGTGGGGAGGACCAGGGTGGCTCTTTGGTCTCTTCGAAGTGGACATTCTCCCGCAGGGCCTCCGGGATCCTGACAGCCCCCCGATTGCCCCCCCCCCAGATGGCAGCCTGCGGCAAGTGCAGCTGAGCTGATGGCTGAGTGCTGTGATGTGCCGAGTGTGGGCACTCAGGGCACTCCCAAGACAAATGCTTCGCCGTCCCTCATCAAGATAGACAAGCAAGCGGGGAACCCTGAGAACTGTCTGTCCGGAGTGGGGGTCGGGTCCCTTTAAGCACAGCCCTTGGCTAGCCTGAGGCAGCAGCTCCACACTCTAAGTCCTAACCTGATGCCCTGCCAGCACTGGTTCCGGCCAGCCTTAACTTCGGTTCAGGGTCCACTCAATGTGGACATACTATTTTGAATTAGCAAAACGCTAAGTTGAATTAGTTTTTAGGTCTAGATGCACTAATTTGAATTATCTTAGTTAATTCGAAATAATTCGAATTAAGTTAGTTCAAATTAGTGCTGTAGTGTAGACATACCCACAGTGTGTATATCTGTGGAATGGATGGGGCATCTTGGTTCCAGGCCAACTTTGGTACAGTGATGTGAAGCATTGCAGCTGGGTATCTCCCAATTTAGGTTTGCTGTAAAGCACCTGAGTCAAATAATCATATTTTCATGACTTGCAGCTGCTAGACACAAAGAACGCCCTTGCCAAGAGAAGTTTCTCCAGGCTCAATTTGACTATGTATTTGAAGTAGCTCTACGTATTGATATGAAGAGTAGTAACAAATCTGAGTTCAATTATAATAAAATAATCAGATATTTCTGACAAGTATGTACTTCTACAAAAATAACGGACAGAGGAATATTCAGGAAAAAGAAACTACCTCAGGCTTGACATCATTTGGATCATCAATTTGAGGTATATCATCCCAGTCCTTGGGTTTCTTTGCTGAAGGATGATTTATTTTCCTTGGCGGCAAGAAATCCCAATCATCTTCTAAATTGCCCGATTCAACTATTTCATTATCAATTTTCACTTCATAAGTCTGATCTGGTCTTAAAATCAGTGTGTATAAATGAGTGAATCCATCAACCTATAAATGTTAAAGAAAGGAAGTTAAATATTTTCTTCCGCCACTTGGAAGTACCACTAAAACATGTACCACTTTTAGAACCAATTTGCATTAGAATCACTTTAATGCAGAAAATCTTTACTATGTATTTTAGAGATGTGTGTCTGTCCATCTCTGAGTTCATTTGTTCAAGAACTCCTCTTAAATGGTAAAAAGTAGGACCACCAAATTTGGTATGTAGCTTCCTCTTATCATACCTTCAAGCAAGGAATGGGATATGCTTGGAATGCAATTATTTCTCATAAAAAATGAAAGGGGGGGGGTCTGTAGAAGTGAGTTATACTGTAGAATGACCACAAGAGGGAAGTAAGGGGCCAGAGATGGGGACCAGGACAGCTACAACTCCATTGGGACAGCAGGCAGCAGGAACAGAGAAAGGGACAGCTATCTACTATATATTTTGTAGAGTTTGTTTGTGTGTCTGTATGTCTGTCCCGCATCCAGGGTACAAGCACCCCTCCTCCAGCTGTGCCCCCTGCAGTTGCAATGGCCATGGATAGGTGCTTCTTACTTAGCCCCAAGCTGCTGTGGTGACAGAGGGCTGGGGTTGCCCACTGTCCCCAGGGTAGCCCGCATACTGAATCTCACATCCTCAAAAAATCTCAGAGGGGTAGCTGTGTTAGTCTGTCACTTTAAAAACAATGAGTAGTCCTGTGGCAGGTTAGAGACTAAGAAAAATATATAATATCATGAGCTTTAATGGGCAAAACCCACTTCATCAGATGATGACCCGAAGAGGAATAAACAGAAACCAAGTATTTTATAATAGAAAAAAGGTACCTGTCAATTGTAGGACCTGTGCTAATGAAGCTAATAAAGTGGGCTAGAAGTGTCCCATACTTAACTTTTGATTAAAAAATGAGGTGTTAAAGGTAGGGAAGACTGGCTTTATAATGTGATTAATGTCTCCCTCTCTGTAATTGGCTGGTGAAATTCCTTTGTACAAGAATGACTACTTTTAAATCCATTATTTGAGTGCCCAGGCAGGTTAAAATGTTCCCCTACAGGTTTATGTGTGTTATCATTTCTGATGTCTTTATCAGGCATTCTTAACACTTAAATGCCCACCTGGGGAAGTGAAAAAATAGATTGGCAGAGCCAAACAAGTTCCCAGGAATTTACTTCTCCAAGACAGGCCCAACAAGGAAAATAACACCACTGGTCATCAGCTAGGCCACATCTACACTAGATCTGTAAGATTGGCTTAAGGCAGTGGTCCCCAACCTTTTGAGGTTGTAGGGCACCAGGGGGCGTGGCCGTTGGCCCGCCAGGGGGCGGGGACACTTGCGCACCCGGGGGCGGGGCCCCCCCT